GAGGACCGGGAAGGGACTCTCACCCTCCAAGGAGGACCGGGAAGGGAGGCATTTCATCTTTATTTTTAACGTGGACATTCCTGACTTCCGGTCGCTGTGCCCTTTTCTCTAATAATTAAAGCAAATGTACAATGTATGTTTGATAGGCCAAAAACAGGCTACTTTAGTTGCATAAAATTCACGTTAACTCATAGCTAAGCCAGAATGACCTCCCCACACCTAGTATGTGAATGGTTCTTTCATCAGAGAGTTGGAACCTTTAGCCTCAGCCCCGACCTCAGGGAGCGGGGGGAAGCTGGAGGTTGAGTTAACCACCAATGGCCAGTGATTTAATCAACCCTGCCTGGTAAGGGACTCTCCATAAAAACCCTAGACACAGGGTTTAGTGAGCATCTGGGTTGGTGGACACATCGGTGTGCCGGAGGGTGGCGCACCCCAGCCCCGTAGGGACAGAAGCCCCCGTGTCAGGACCTGTCGGGACCTCACTCTACAGACCTCTTCACCTGGCTGTTCATCTGTAAGCTTTGTAATAAGCTGGGAGCAGCAGTTATAGCAAATTATCAAAGCCGAGGAGGGGTTGTGGGAACCCCGATTTATAGCCACATCAGAAAGAAGTGGGGGTGACCTGGGGACCCACCACTGCGACTGGGGCTGAGCCTGTATCTGTGGGGTGGATGGTGTGGCCGAACTGAACTGGTCCTACAGTCGTAGGACCCGGCTGGTGTCCAGGGAAACAGGGGGCATGTCCGCTGTCAGAGTGTTGTGAGAAGTGATGAAATAGAATAGAATTCATATTTTATGGCAAGACAAGAAAACTTTAAACATAACATTTTTCTTTGCCCGTTTGGGCCTCCTCCCTCCTCTTTAGTCTGTGCTGTGCATGTGCATTGACCAGACCTCCTAGGAGAGAACCTTCCCTCTTGACTGTGTGAGGGGGCCACAGTGACCCACTACTCACTTTGGACGTGCAGACCTGGACTGTGTGAACCGTCAATATGTCATTCGACTCTAACCCTTCGTCTCAAAAACGAACCTAACTGTGCTTTGACCTCGAACGGGCGAAACAGCCTTTAGAATTTTCTGAGACTCTCCCCTAGGTTGGCTCACACAGAATTTTCCATTTCTTTCTTAGATCAATAACTGAATAGGTTTTTTGTCGACATAAGAAAAGGCAATTTCCTTAGGCTCTTAGTTCTCTTAGGGAAAATGCCCGATGCTTTCACAGGTCGAAGGTGGATCCACAAACCCGTATCCAGTGGCGCCCACCTGAGCCCGGCCAGTCCTCGCAGTAAAGGAAACACACGGCTGTGGGCTCGGGATCAGCCCTTCTGCTCTTCTGAGAAGTCCTTCCTGGGCAGAAGGAGGGGACACGGTGACCTCATCTCCTGGGTCTCCGTGCGCCAAGGAGCGCGTCAGGAGGAGAGGAGCCTGGACCGCCCCAGCCCCGCCCCACGAGCGGCGCTGCTCTGGGGGGCGTGGCTCCCCCGCCGGCGGCCTCCCGGCCCTTCCCGGAGGCCAAGGCGCTCGCCCCCCCGGATGCTGAGCTGCAGGCCCTGCTGCAGGCACGGCAGCTTCCCTGGACGTCCTGGGGGCAGCGGGCACCGGGGGTGGCCGTGCTGGGGCCCTGTCTCCCGTGCCTCCCGCCTCCTGTCCGCGTGGCGGCCCCGCGTCTCCCCGGGGAGCTCTGCTCCCACCCACCGGGCACCTACCCGTCCTGGGAGGCCGCTGGCTTCGCCCCAAGCCCACCCAAGGGGTTCTCCTCGCAGGCCTCTGACCGAATCTCGCCGCACGCAGCTCCTGGCCCTACGGCTGCTTCCTGACGGGAAATTCTGCCCCCTTCGTGCAGGCCTCAAAGAGGCAAGGACGAGGTGTGTGATGAGCAACACATTTTATTTCCTATCTTGAAATTATTTCCAGCTGAATTCTCAAAGGAGAGAATACCGCAAAATATATTTAGTAATTTTTGTCTAATGAATCATTTTAGAGTTATTTGCACACACAGGAGGATAAAACAAGGAACACTGAATCAACAGCCGAGGGTTTATACGTAATCAAATAATTAAAAGATCATGACCAAATGGCAAAGACGCCCTCATTACAAAAATAAGAAGTGACGCTGAGTTTGTAAACTTCCGAACGATGCTGTTCCCGATGGAGCGTCTGAAATAAAACGCACTCTTGTGATTCCGGCGATGGTGTCTCCTCTGTGAGCTGCACGTGTGTACAGGCGGGGCTCGCGGACAGCTCTGTAAACAGTCGGAGCTGTAAAGCACTGAATCGAGGTGAAGGTCAACGAGCTACTCAAATACGCGAAAGTGAACGTCCACTAAAACGCTGATATAAACATCAGCCCACCCACTTCTGCAACAGTTGTTTCAACCCGGGGGGCTCGAGGGTCTTTCTTTTGTAGAGAAGACTGTCGCTCTCCGACTTTACGGTCGAGGACAATGTGACGCACGCTGACCTCCCAGTAAATCCTCAGGAAAAATCGCTCTCGGTTCTTTCCTGTGGGGTCGCCAGGCGTGGGCAAGCGGAGGGCGGTGTAGCCTGCAGCCACGATCGTGGAATCTGGCCCCTGGGGCTGCAGACTCGCCCTGCGCCTGCCAACGTCGAGGGGAGCTCCGTGCACACCTTCTCCGAGGCTGCGACCCGGGTGGATTCTGGTCATGTTTCCACCACTTGAAGTGAGGCCACCGGCTGCATCTCCCGTGGACGTTCGGGTCTATTTAAAAATCGCAACAGAACGCTCCTGCTTCTTATTTTAAAAAGGGAACACCCGGTGAATATAGTACTTTTATCTCCTCCATCTGTCATCACGTTCTTTGCCAAACATTGCCTCAAATACTTTGTGGAACAAAGTAGAAATAAATAAAGAGAATAAACCAGATGGGGCCACCAGGTGCGGTAGGTAGCGGGAAGGGAACCTCCAGCTCCAGCAGAGATGCCGGCTGTGAGCAGGTGTGGTCGAGGGACGACGGAAAAGGCCCAGGGTCCGGGCCTCTGCTGGGACCCCTCCCTGTGCTTTTGTCCAAGGAGCCTCCTGGGTTCTGCAGCTCCAGGGGGCCGACCCCAAGCCTGGTGTAGGTTTCCCGAGACTCCTGGGGTGGGGGCAGCCTGGACCCCTGCAGCCCACGTGCTGACCACCCTCCCAGAGGTGGGCCGGCCCCGGAGCCAGAGACCTCGGTCCTGTCCACTCCAGCTCTCAACTGGTGGGAGTGAAACTCAGCAGGTGAGACGCCCACCCCAGGGTCCCCATCCCAGAAGTTGGGGTCCTCATCCAGTTGCCCAGACACTGGACACGGGGCAGCACTGTGGGTGCAGGTAACTCTCATGCTGCAGACACCCCTGGCTGGGCCCCGAGCACTGCCTGCTCTATAGAGGGGGGGACGCATACCTGGAGGGGTGACCGAGGGAGGCCCCCTGGAGCTGCGACCCTCAAATGTGCCCAGTGTTGACGCTGAGGACGTTTCCAGTCTGCTGGATGTTAAGTTAATGGCCTGGTTGGAGAAGGGGGGGCGGCAGGAGTGACAGAGCACAGCTGGCTGCACACCTCCTGCCTCCACCTGGCCCCCTGCCGAGCTCAGGGCCACTCGGGCCACCACGCCCGTTCATACCCTCATACCCTAGGCAGACCTGTCCTGGGATGAGATGGGACAGAGCCGGTTCTTACTCAGTGCCTACCAAAGATCAGGTCAGAAGCCTTGTCTCTGCAAGTGAACCTTCAAATCGGAGAGCAAGGGAGGGTGGGCACCGGTCAGGGGAGCTGCTCCAGGACGAGCAGGGATCCTCCGGGGAATCACTCAGCTGTGAGGGCAGCAAGCATCATGGAGCCTCAAAGAGCAGGGCACACTTTCCGCAGAGGGATGTCATCAAAAGCATCAAAAGCAGCCTGGGCGCTGGGGGAGCCCCACCCGGCTCGGCCTGGACCCCCGTGGCCCCTAAGCACCCCCCCACACCAGGTTTCAGTCTGCTTCATGGCTGCGACTAAGGTTTCAGCTGCACACGGTGTGACCCTGTGTCTGTGCCTCAGGACAGAGGCTGAGGGAACCGCTCGGAGAACTAACAGCAAGACAGCGACAAAATCACCTCCAGGCAGTGCGATGACCGACCAGTGGTTTTTATTTCCGTCCTTGTCCTTCTGTACAGTGTTCAAATATTCTAGACAGAAAGTGCATCGTCTAAGTGACGGAAAGGGCTGCAATTGAGCAACGTCTCTGGCGGGAAACACTCGGACGCTGTGCGGGAGGGCAGCGGGGCTGGAGAGTGCACTCCGTCACCGACCTGTGCCCCGTCCAGGGCCTTGCAGGACTTGCAGACCCCGACGAGGCTGCTGTGATGATGGTGGGTCAGACGAGACTGGGTTGCTTTTCTCACCAGTTTCTGAATGAAACCGTCCTGGGAATCGTGCACCTGAAAACAGCCTTTTCGCGGCTCTGATGGTCGCTGTTCTCTGGAGTCGACTCCCTCTGGTTCGCTGGCTCCGGCCAGGCTTGGGTGGACAGAGAGGTCACACCCGGATCCCAGTGGCTCCCTGACTGTCAGGCGGCTGTGGGGTCATGGACGCAGCCCCCCGCCCCCCGGTGGTCGCCATGTCAAACTGAAGCCTCTGACTCTTTCCAGGACCGGCAGGGCCAGTCGGGGCCACTCACCACCCTGGCCGTGTCTGAGCCAGGAGGGGTCATGTCGGCACCTGCTGGTGACCCCGCAAGAGGCAGAGTGCCCTCAAAACCCAAGGCCGCGCCCCAGGAGGGGACGGGACAGATGCACAGGAAGTCCAGCACCGAAGGTCAGAACTTCCTGTGCAGAGACGGGCGTGAGCCTGACGCCCGTGAAGACGCCAGGTGTGGGCGGAGTGTACTGGCCACAGGGCTCCCGTCCTCCCAGGGCCACTCACGACAGAGGACACGACCCCGCAGACCGGGCGCCGGCGCTCAGAGCCGAGGGTCACCGGGAGGAAGGAAAGGGAGTGAGGCGTCGGGCCGCTGGCTCCCGTGAGGGCCTCACTTTGGAAGCGCGAACGTGTCATTGGCCCTGAGGATGGCTGGTCTAAAGGACAGCTCGAAGGACCTCTGGTCGCTGAAGCTCTGGGCTCTGTACTTGGCCAGGTGCGCGCCCCTGCCGCCGCGTCCGCGTTCCTGCGTGCCCCTCCCCGCCCCGGGGGTGTCCGGGGGCCCCCCTGGGGCGGGGGCGCGGGCCGTGTGGCAGCCCCCTAGCACGGCCGAGGGCACCGCAGAGGCTGGCGCTGGCCGGGGGCCGGGGGCCGTCGGGCTCTCGCCCTGCCCGCATGGCTCTCCGCGAGCCCCCTGACCACCCCTGGAGGCTGCTGGTCTCCGGGACGTCTCATTTTTGCCTGCGGGGGGCGCCACCTCTGCTGCCTTGCTCTCAGGCTGAGCCGAGTTAGGGGGGGCCGTCCTGCCAGCCTGGGCCTGGGCAGGGTGTGCCGGGCTCCCTGGGTGGGGAGGAGCTAGGTTCTTTGCAGCCGGGGCCCCATGTCCCCGAGGGGGGCCCTCTGTGTGCCTCGCCTGCTGCCTCTGCGGCCACTCTGGGCTCTTCCCAATGCGCCGGCCGGGAGCCTCCACCGGGGCCGCCGGGTCACCGTCCACAGCCTCTTCGGCCCCACTCGAGCGGGCCTTCTCGCCCCAAAGGCCTTCTCCCTTCCTTCCAGGACCGTCCAGCCTCGCAGCCCCCGGGGGCCCCTCCTCTTGCCCACGGTGACTTCTTCCGCCGCCCAGGCCGGCCCTCTCCCCGCCCGCGACTTCCCTGGGGGCCTGGAGGTCGAGGCGCTTCTGGGCCACCCGGTCTGCCCTTAGCCCATCCGCCACTGTGGACGTGGGGGGAGGTTGGTGGGAAGGCCCAGCACTGGGAGGAAGCTGTTCCCCGGGTAAGACGCACGTCCCGCCCTTGGCCTGCTGGTTCTCAGACGGCGGTGGCCTAGTGCCCAAAGCGTGGCTTGGAGTCCCCGCCACGTGGCTCCCCTGTGGCACAGGGAGATCTGGGGCTGGAGTCGGGGGCTTTGGGCTGCCCCCCTGAGGGCTCTGCCACACAGCGCCTGAGATTCTGTCCCCAGCTGCCACCTTCCTTTTGCCTGCGGCCAGTTCACCTGGAGCTGCCCCGCGGGGCTCGACAGGCAGGGTCTGGGTGTCGGCGGCCTCCCGAGGCGGGGCGGGTGGGGACCCCGAGGCTCCGCACACGCTGCCGCCCCTGGGCTGGCGATCAGGCTTCTCGGCCGCGAGACCTGGGCCTGTGGGCCGGGCGGCGCCCCTTTCCTCCTGCTCCTTGGCCGCCCTGTTTCCGGGGCTCAGGGCGTCCCCTGGCACCAGGGCTGGGGGGCTCCTGGAGGCCCCTGCAGCCGTCACCCGCCCGGGGGCGTTGACACTCCTCGGCTGTGTTCGTTCAGTTAAGGAGCTTGCTCTGTTCTCACCAGGATCATGGCTGGCGCTCCCTTCAGCCGTCAGCGGGGGCCGGGTTGGCTCCGGGGACGACGGGGGCCCCCTGTGTCCTTCCTGCTCACGAGGGGGGCTCTTGTCCACCGAGGGCAGATTCTCAGGCCTCCTCCCGTCCTGGGCCGGTGCTTCTGGCCTCATGGAGACACTCACCTCGCTCCTCCCGGGAACCCTGGGCGCCAGCACTTGCTGACCGCCGGGGGCACAGCCGGCGAGTCCCCTCCATCGGTTTTCCGAGGCCGCAGACCGATGTGATGAGGTGCTGGCGTCATCAACCGGCCTTTCCTCCCGTCCTGTCAGCAGAGGTGTCTTAGAACTTAGCTGGGAAGCGTCCTCTCCCCAAGTGTCCTGGTGCTTCGGGAGCCTGTGTGAAGTCCCAGGGCTGCGTCTGGTTTCCTTTCCTCCAGGGGAACTTTTCTGCGGTTTCGTCGTGGGAACTGCCTCGGGGACGTCTGGACCATGGCAGGCAGCATCCTGCGGAGGCGCTGTGAGCGTTGGCTGTGCCCCTGGGCCTTGCTGTGGCAGGGTGGGCGGGCTCAGACCTGCCGGGCTCCGTCCTGCCCTCGACGGGGCGCCCCTGCTTCCACTCTCGGCCGTAGTGGTAGGTGGGGCTCCTGTATTTCCAGTCACACCCTCTCCTCGCAGAAGACGCCAGCCTTGGTCTTCAGGGCCTGCTGCCCTCTGCAGGGTGGCAGGAGGGGGCGGCACTGTGTGGACAGCCGGCAGTCTGGCCGCGATCTGCAGAGGCTCCATGGCTGGCTGTGTGTGCTGCGCGGCCTGGGCTGCATGCGCCGCGAGCGGAGGGAATTGTCCTGGCGCTCTCTCTTCTGGGCAATTCTCCTGGACAGCGAAGAGGGGGTCTGGCTCCGAGTCTGCAGTCATTCTTTCCGTTTCATCCTCTGAACTGCAGACGGTCAGGGTGACTTCGGGGGCAGCCCCGGCTCTGCCCCCCACGAACCCCGGCGGGGGGCCCAGCCTTGCTCCCCTCGCCCCCTGGGCAGCCCCCGTCCTGTCGCCTCCCAATGCCGCCGTGCCCCCCGGGCTGGCTGGTCCCCGTGGGCTCAGCTCGGGCTCGCAGCCAGGAAGGACTTCACCCCAGAGGGAGGCGGGAGAGGGGGCTGCCCTGGGGACACACTCGGGCCCCGCACCTGGCAACAGTGTTTCCGGGCCGTCCCTGGGGGCGGTCGCCCGGGGAGCGGAGGGCTGCCGGGGCTGCCCCCACCCTGGTGCTTGGCTCCCACCGGGCGTCTCTCGCGCGCGGGGGGCCGTGCCCGTTTCTCCTCTGGGCGCGCAGCGCAGATCCGCGTGGGTGACTCTGGCGCCGTGGGACATCCAGCTGCGGGGGCCGCAGACGACGGTGGCGATGCTGAAGGGCAGCAGGGGCTCGGCCGAGCCGGCCAGGAAGCGGGCGGGGGGCGCCCGGATGCAGGTGCTGGCCAAGGTGGCCAAGCGGAGCACGCGGCGCTCGGGCCGGTGCAGCGGGCCCCGCGGCAGGCGCTTCTTCCTGTGCTCGTGCGCGCGCAGCGGCAGGAGGCCGGTCTCCGCACAGCGGCAGCCGCTCCGCTCAAACGTCTCCCGCAGCTTGGCCAGCGCGGCGCTCCGCCTGACGCCCGCCTTCGGCGGAGGGCCCCTGGCGGCTTTGGGCGGCTCCGCGGAAGGCTTCTCCGCGGCCTCCTTCTCCTCCGCGGCCAAGAACACCTTCAGGATGCTCTTCACGGAGCTCCTCCCGGCGGGGAGCCCCCGGGGCCTCTCGCGCCCCAGCGGCTCCCGGCCTCGTGCGGGGCGGCCGGCTCCCTCCCTGGTCTTCTCCAGGAGCTTGTGGATAGTGGCCGTCACCAGGCTCCTGCCGGGGCCCTGCCTGTCCTTGAAGATCAGCCGCCCCACCTCCCGGGTCCTCTTGAGGCGCGGCTCCCGGCCGGTGCCCATGAACTTGGCCTTGAGGAGCTGGAAGCGTGTGGGTCGCCGCGGGGCGTCCTGGGGCTCCGGCGCCCGGCCGGTCTTGCTCAGCCCGCCTTCTGCCCTCCTGGAGGGAGGAGGCCCCTGGGGCCCGTCCTCGCGGTCGGTGATGTAGAGCAGCAAACTGCTGAGGATGGCTCGGGCCGCGGGGTCGCATGTCACCCTGCTGACTTTCTTCTTTAGGGCTTGGACATCAATGGGTGTCTTATTGCTGCAAATCCTGCCGCTCTTGGGGCTGTAGGGAAAAGAATGAATCGTCACAGATTTTATCACCATTTTTTCCAAGGTGGCTCCTTGGAACATTTCTTATGGGACAGTCCCATTTAAAGTAGCCCAAGAAGTCCAGGAAGAGAAGCCTGGGCGCCGAGCGGCTTGGATTCTGGGGAATCCCTGTGGCAGCGCCGGAGGGTCAGGGTCGCCCACCGCCTAGCACTTTGGGCCACTATTTCCTTTTCTGTTAACTGGCCATGTTTTCTGAACTGTACCCTCTGCAGGGCTTTGGAGAGCATAAGGTATTTACATTTTTTTTTGTAGTGGGCATGTTTTTCTTGCATAAGTTAGGAGAAAAGCATAAAGGCTTCACCTTCTCTGTATGTTCTCTGCTCTCCTCTAACTGTACTGCATTATATTCTGATTCAGCCCCAAGGGCGCCGTCTCCACCCAGGCCCTGGGCGGGTCAGGCAGCGGGAGACTCAGCTGTGGGGCGGGAGCTGGGGCGTGGCCCCCCGGAGCAGGAGGGCGTGGGCTTCACTGCCCAGTAGAGGGGAAGAGGGCTGGGGGCACCGGCCGGGACCTGCCCTGCTGAGCCCCCTCGGGAATGCTCTCCGGGAAACCCCGAGGCTGAGGGGCCCGAGCCCTCACCCTCCACGGCCCTGTCCCCAGACCCCTTTGCCCCAGCCCAGCGGGTCCAGGCCGAGAGGCTGTCCCCTGAGGGCGCGTCTGCCCAGCACTGGCAAAGCCGGAGCCTCCTCCCTGCTGGGGCTTCCACCTCTCCAGATGGCAGTGTGGCAAAGACGTGCCCAGAATTGCAGCCCAGCCATCAGCACGGCTTTGCTGTTTATCCCAAAGAGACGATCAGGTCGCAGAGCAAAGATTGGTGTGCCGCGTGTGACACTGAAAACGGGGCACATCTTAAGTGCCTGGCACGGGGCAGGGGCCTCAAGAAACGTCACATCTGAGTTTGAGGGAAGGCAATCTACAGCAGGAAAGTGCTCAGGACGCAGCCGGCGGAGACACAGACCGAAAGCAGGCTGGAAGGGAACGTGCGAACATACTTTTCTTTCTGTACTTTGCAGGAGAGAGAGCTCTGTTTCTGGAAGCTGCACACAAACTTCTTTTAAGAGCCGTTAGGCGCGCTTCCGTGATGGGAGGACAGCAATGGGGCCCCTGCTGGCCTCACCCCCTGACGGGTGAGCCCCTTGGGTGAGCCGGGCGCCCGTCCACTGCCTGGGAGTGGATCCCGGACGGACAATTACTCCTTTCAAGGAGCGAAGGAGAGTGAATGTAACTGCAGAATTTTCCGTAGAACCCCGAATTCGCTCCTACGCAGTGAACCCACGCAGAATGCAGCTGCTCCCATTATCCTCAGATGCCGGAGGACCTGGGCGCCCAGTGAGGTGACCCCACCAGAAGCCCCAGCTCGGACGTCTCAGGGACCCAAGACCTGCATTTGCAGCAAGTCCCCTGAGTGGCCGTAGCTACTGGTCCTGGGAGCCACTTTGAGAACGGCCGGCATGGAGCGAGAACTTTCCAGCCTCAGACCACTGTGGGTTTGACCCTGATGTGGTGGACGAGGCTCCGCAAACAAACCCAGACCTGAACCTACTGAGCTCTGAGGTGGCAGGTCCGGCATGGCTGCGGGATGGCCACAGCCGAAAACACATGACCGCTGAATCTGGGGCTGCGCCGAGCATCTGAGGGGGTCGGGCTGTGCTGAGCCCTGGCCAGAGGGGGATGTGCCCTGGGCTCGCTGGGCAGCCAGGCTCCAGTGCACTGGCCCTCGACTGGTCCCAGCTCATTCCCACCTCAGGGCCTGAGCAGCCTGCGCGTGGGGCGTCTCGTGTCCCCTGCTGGGGTCCCTGCCTAAGCACACAGCTCCCAGGCGCCGCCCCCAGCACGTCCCCGGAGTGCCTCCCGCTGTGCACTTCTCATCCTTGCCAGAGGCCTGGGTGCAGCACAGAGCATGCGGAGTGTGGCTTTGCGTGGCCCCCAGTGGCACACAGCCTCTGCGTGGGGAGACCGTCTCTTCCCTGCTTTCCCAGGGCTCACAGCAGCACCCGTGGAAGGACCCTGGCCGCCGGGTGCGCCCCTGAGCGCCTCTCCCTGCTGCACCTTGCGCCCGCCCGCCAGCCTCTCTGCCCTGCTGTCTTCCACTCCCCTCGAACTCTGGCCGTGCTGGGCTCTGTCCCAGCTCTACACTTTCCCCGTGCTGAGCCTTCCGGCCCGGCACAGCCACACTCCTGACGAGCTCCTATCCATCCCTCAGGACCCGGTTCTGATGCCCCTGCTTTCCCAGTGGCCCGGATGCCTTGTCCCCACTGGTCCTGTGAGGCCTCTTAGTGTCCCCTGCAGGGTGACAGTCCCGACCTCTGCACCCCGAAGTCACTGAGAGTGGACGGCAGGCGAGCTCCCCTGGGGAGGTGAGGTCCTTCTGTCCAGACTTCAAGTCTGCCTGTCCGGCCAGACTTGAAGGCAGGCCCAGCACATTCTTTTGGGACCTCCCTGCTCCCAGGGCACCTCGGGCCTGGGTGAGAGTTCCTGCCCATCACGGGGGGTCGGCCCAGCCCATCTCGGCCTGGTCAGCACTGCCTGGAGGACTGGTGGGCCCGTGGCTTCATGTCCAGCCCCTGGCGGCGTGGACGTGACCGAGCCCACCCCGGGACAGGAGTGGAACATTAGGGGCCAATCTAAACAGTAGCGCTGCAGCAAAGGTTCCTCATTTAGTCCCATCAGTAACTCTGGCTCCCGAGAGGTCACTTGAAAATACAGGGACATCAGAGTCACTGTTGGCGACACACCCCTTCCCACCCCGGTCACCAACCGGACCCCCTTGGCAGTCACAGATGGGGCAGGACGCAGACCCTGCGTTCCCAGCAGAGGTCCTCCACTCCATCCTTGTCCTAAAACGGGAGCAGCGTCCAGCACCTCTGGGGGCCTGTCCCCTCCACGGGGGCAGCCTTTCCTGCTTCATCGAGGGCCTGGTTGGCCTGGGCCTGCTCTACCACGCGTCAGCACGTGTCCTGGGGCAGCGACTGGATGTCCCCCGGCCCCCGTGTCCCAGCTGAGGTACGGGGTCTCCTGGGGCACAGGTCTGGCCGTCCCACCGCCCTGGCAGGGGCACTGTCTGTGGCACTGAGACCCCCTTCCCCACTCTCGGCCGTGACCTCCCTCCAGGCCGATCCCCTGCGCCCCGAGAGCACGTGTGCTGCCCCAGGACACACAGTGTGTTCACATCTGCCACACGGCCATGCTATCTACCATCGTCTCACGAACACTCTTCCCCCAGCTGTGGGCCTGGGGGTCAGGGGGCAGAGACAGGGACAGGTCATCCCCTCGTCCTCCCGGCCTGGGGCAGAGATGGTGGCCGCTCACTCGGGGTGCAGAAGGGGCACACACCGCGCACTCTGTCCTTCCAGCTGCGGTTCCTCCCGCGTCCCCATGGAGCCGCGAAGGCCAGGAGGACACAGCGACCTTCCGAGCCACCCCTCCCCCAGCGCCAAGTGGGGCTGCACGCAGCAGGCGCTCCGTAAATGCCTCGCCTCCACTCGGAAGAGACGGGAAGGAGGAGAGGCTGTCGTCCCCCGTCTCTACAGGCCGTTGGCGGGGAGCTGGCGGGCGGCTCTCACGCTGACTGCAGGCCCCGGCTTGCGCATCCCTCATAAGTAGCAGTTCCCCCACCGCAGCACAAATGCACATCCGTCGACTGCGCTGTACATTTTAGTGGCCAGGGAGCTACCGGCTGAAACTTGCCAATGCATCAGAGTCTGACAACCTGAACCTCTGTGTTTCCTGGAAATAAACCTGGATAAAGGCTGGTGGGTGTCCTCTGGGCCGGGGCCCACGGTCCCGCTCCTTCCTGCCTGGCCCTGGTCATGGTGGACAGAGGGCCATCCATCCAACCGGGCTGCCTGAGGCCCTGAGTGTTGGATGCTATTTCAGGACCTGAGATTTAAATAGCAGAGTGTTCTGGGGACATTCCCCTCATGTCTAGTGACAACTACTGCTGGGTGTGCGTGTCTGTGTGTATCTATTTGTGTGTGTGTGTGT